AGAAGTTCAGAAGCTAGAAACAGAATAAAAATGTAGTCAAATGGAGAAGTAAAATATGGGAATAGTAGAGGCGAAGAAACTAGCTATGCATGAATAACGCAGCTGAAAGGAAATAATATTCCTTAAAGGAATTAATCTATAAATTGAGTCTTAAGTAGCGTAGGCTGTAAAAAATTATATTAATATCATGAACTAATGTTCAATAGGAGCGAAAATGGAATTTTGTTTTTGAGAAACGACTTCATATTGTGAGGAACAAAAGTGAGATTCATAATAAATAAATGCAGTAAAGCTTAAATAATAATATTGCGGCAAGATTATCTATTTCGAAGGGGAAGTTGGTCGGAAGAAATTCGTGATGTGGTCTCACCGAGAGCCAAAGGAGGATTGACGAGTAGGGAAGACTGTGGAATTGTGCGAAGAAGTCCTCGGCTCGCCCTCCTGCGATTCCGATTAAACTATGCTAAGCTTTCGTCTGTAATGTGACAAACATCATAATAAAAGATTCCATATTTTGAGAAATATTGCAAAAATATACTAGAAAAAGGGTCTGAATATTATCTAAACGAAAGAACAACAGAAGAAAGTGTTCATTTCTCTATATACCTTGTTTTATGTTCCATTTCCTCACTAGTTCACCCAACATTTTCCCAAGCTTGCAGGAAGGCAAAATCAGGAACCGAGTATAACTTTCCAGTTATCTATCCCGCACCTGATATCAAACTCGCTTAATCTTGCTAACTACAATTGATATATAATTGTATACTAATCCTAATGGGTAATTGTTTAAAAAAAGTATATACCTTAATCCATTAATCTTCTGGTTCCTATGGTTTGCAGCTGCTAGACGCAGACTCCTTAGTATTACAGACTTCATGACTCATATTTTTACTTAATATGTATGGTTTGAGAAAAAAATAAATAAGGAAACCCGCAACACAATAGACAATAACACAAGCCCAAACTTGATTCAACATTAGCGATCGTACGCTAGTTTTTGTGTGATGAGATAGCTGCCACCGAACGCATTTCCGATTCGGTAAGTTAACTTTACACATCTGCAAGCGTGTAGAGTAAGGTTGAAGTAGCCAACCAAATTATGGGAGGCCTCATTAGGATCGTGACTAGGTTTGCATCCAGCGACCTTCTTTTCTTGTTTTAGTATATTTTTGTTATATTTCGTAAAGTATGGAATCTTATTCTTACGATGTCTATTACAGTAGAGATGAAAGCTTAGCACATTTTCATCGGGGTCGCAGGAGGATGAGTCGAGGACTTCTTCGCACAATTCCAGGCTTCCATACGCGACAATCCTCCTTTGGCTCTCAATGAGACCACATCACGAATTTCTTTAAACCAACTTTCCCTTCCAAATTAGGAATCATGCCACAATATTTTATTAAGGAATTCTTTGAAACCCAGTTTTTATTCATATCTTAAATTTAAATGACGAAATTTAAAACTTGAATAGGAGGCAGTACTGAATACTTTTCGAGGATTTTATCAATTTAATTTTCCCCAACAACATTAGATTGATTTTCAATTAAATATGCTTAGGGAATAGCAGAATCGACAAATAGAGCAAATAAGATGTGGTTTGATACCTTTTTCTTAACTTGGTCGTGTTGTCAGGACGATTTTGATGAGCACCATACCTTTCTTTGTCATAGTGTTACAGAGTCAGACTATAAATTTGTCACACGTGCTTTGGACCTGAGCATTTGTCAGGACTAAAGCTGCACAGTATAAATTATCATAATTTATCTGACAGAGGACTCAATGTAACGTGTGTGATAAGGGGACAAAATCGAGAAAATGAAACTAAACCATTTCTATACAGCGAAAGAATAACACGACAAAAATAGAGATCACACCATTATCGTCTTCATGTTTTCGACAGAAAATAAGGTTTACCTGAGTAAAATTTGAGACAAGAACGAGGCGATCAGCCGTAATAGGTGGCTGGCCTGGTATTATGCCAGTTTGAAACAGCTGCTTTACCATATGGAGTAAAACATTCAGCTTTCCTGAATCGGAAATTATGCTGTCTTCCGAATAGGAATCATTATTTTCAGCTGAAATTACGTCAGACAATTGAACCGCCAGTTTTCTGGGCAACTATGGTAGGAATAAATAAAAATATTGAAAAGGATCATGAATACAATAAAGCTTGCTCATTATTTATTTAATAGTTAAGAATGTATCATCAAAGAAACTGTCAGATTATCACAAGGCAATAAAGAAAGACATCGCCAAACGGAAATAAAACGCATAATAAGTAAGAATAGTACCAAAATCCAAAATAACATAAATTATTAAAATAAAAGCAAATGAGTAAAGAAATCATAACTAAAAACGACAGATTAAGTGGTGATGTCGTGCTCTAGAGGGATAACGTACGAGGCTTTCCCCGCCACTGGATGCAAGGGAAGATATCAAAGTTGGCGACATTGAAAGCAGGCGAGGGTGGTTGTAAAGTTGACGAAGCGCTGAGATTGCAGCCAAAATTCCTCTGCCACGATAAGACTTAGCTCCAGTAGAAATCCTGGATACCTGTGGGTCTGATGAATCCTCGCCAGACTCTGAAGTTGAGTCAATTATCTCCTCGTCCCTTATCTCTTCCAGACTTACAAACTCCATTTCTAATTTTGGTACATCGATTACACTGGACAAGCTAAGTGGCTCGATAGAATGACGATTAGGGATGCTGTAAACACATGAAGGATTCTGAACCAAAGCGGTATCACCAAGCTCTTGGCGGATCCATTCAACAAGAAGAGACTCAACTTGTTGCTGCTTATGACTTGGTCGGCAGAATACAAGGTTCTCGACTAAAGCACAGGAAAATCAAAGATAGAATATAATAAAGAAACATTTTCCACAAGAAAGCTGAAATGCTCACAAGTGTGATTGAATCACAGAGCTAAATCGGTCTGTTATCAAATCAGAAAATCTTGATAATCAAAAGCTAGTTTTGAACGTTTTAACTTAGTCTTGTACTCAACTGGATAAATATCTCTAGATTCAAAAACAACTATGATTTGTGAAAAGAAACTGAGTTTCGAAGAATCACTTAGTAGATTGATGTTGGTATACCTTTAATTTTGTTTGAAAAGGTGAGCCTAAGGGATTCGTAAATTGGTCACACCGGATACCGAAGGAGGGTTATCTTCGTCTTGAGAATGCTTGATTATGCGAAGAACAGGGAATTAGACAACGCTTCGTCAAGGTTCCTAATGGTACCGTCAGGCCAACTTTCGAAAAACGCAAGAAAATTACTGAGAAAATGGAATTTCAGAACCATTTATCAAGTTTTCCTCGGTCATGCCTTCTTTTTCGAATCTTCGAACGCCCTCTGTAGTTCAGGTTGCTATAAAGTTTTGTGCTCATGTGGTAGTGTTTATGTAGAAGACTTGTAGACCTAGAAATAATGAGTTGTCATAACACAAAACCGCCTACAAAGGTTTATGAATTCAAAAATCGGATATGGCTAAACATATGATCAATACAGGACAAATGAGTGGTCAAAAATCCAACGTTTTGCCGGATAAAGAGACTTCACAGCTAACGGAAGATCAGGGCGTCGATTTGAATTAACAAAACCAAGAACATCCTGATCAAAAACTACCTCTGGTTGCTGGATAGTTAGAAGGATAGAATGAGAGGACAAGAAGAGCCACCGAATATGAGAAGACCTGACCAATCTCGAGTGTAATTTGGGGCTCGAAATTGTCGACTAACTTATGGGTATTGCAAACAACTCACACGCATTCCTAAAGCTAAAATAAGCCTTGGTATTAGATGATCATACACTAGTTTATTTAGATAAATAAAAGCTGTGACCACATCCACTCTCTTTCCTATATCAACTTAATTCGTGTACATGCATGTAGGGAAAACACAAAGTAGAGAACCAAATTATGAAATGACTCATTAAGATCGCAAGGTGAGGTATAAAAAGTAGAATTTCAACCGCCCAGTTTTATTTGTTTTAATGTTTTTTGGTGATTTTTAGTAAATAATGGTTTCTGGCTCTGAGATATATATCGCATGATGAAGAAAAGCTCAGCATGGATGCAAATGGGTCGCGGTAAGGTAAGCTTATGACTTAGCGCAATCTAAAAGTAACAAGTCCAAAGCAACCCTCTATTGGTACCAGGATAAAGGAATTAACGAATAGCTTCCAGCCGCCTTTTTGTACAAAATAAAAGTCATACCAGGATAAAGTATGATTTATACCAATAAATAGTGCCCGCTAAGGATAGGGGCTGAGTAAGTGTCTTACCATGATAAACATAAAATGCGATTGAAGATATGAAGACCAAGATGTTGTGGCCTCTATCAGGGTCGCAGTCTCCTTTCGATTTATAGAATTGGGTTGACCTCGTTGTCGCAACTTGGTCTTGCGTTCAGGGAGACTATGTAGAACGCACCGAGTCCGAAGTCTGTCAGATGCTGGGAATCCAGACAACTACTATGGCAGACGACTTCGGACTCGGTGCGTTCTACATAGTC